GACTGTATTCGGAACATAAACATTTCTTGCAGCTCAATGTGGGTCACCTATAAGTTGAGATATTCATCTAGGCAAATAATAAGTTTTATGTGAGGCTCTACTGAGCTGTCGAATATCGGAACAATTCAAACCATAATTTTATTGAATATCATTTGTATACATTACACTATCACCGAAACAACAATAACAATGACAATTGCAATTCATCTTCAGTTGCAGATACAAATGAGACGCTTTCGATTATTCAAACATGAATAAAATAAGCGATTTCAACGAGACAAAAGCTCAGTCAAGAGTGATTCGTACATAAATGAATGACATAATGATGAATTTGGTGCATTCGCCAACTTTATAAAATGACCCATTTATTCGAATGACAAATTCACTGATGGTCACTACCGTTGTGCTGATTCCACAATAGAGAGTGCCCTTAGATCTGCAAGCATGCCCAACCAATCATCAACTCTTTGAATAGTGAGGATGAGGTCAGAAGTCGGCAAGTGACCATAACTTGACAAGTTTTAGCTCATTTGAATGGTTCTTCCGCTTGAAATCGTCAAAAACTCTTTAAAAAAACAAACAGAATATTTAAACAGTTTCATTACAGCAACTATACAAACAATGCGCATAATGAAGCTGCCCAACGTGAACACAATAAATTGTTATTAAACAAAAAGTAAGAATGCTACGCAATATGAAAATCATGAACGTAACGATTCGATAAGAAAAAAATCGAATCATAGTGATAACTTTCACAGAATTTAATGAACTTAGAGCGAACATCTTGTTTCATCAGTTGGCTATTTCATGTTAAACTTCAAAAATGCATCGTTTTTCAATACTAACATTCAACCCGGAGTTGATAAATTCCCCACCGTAGACTGAATTCGACGCCAATTAACCATAAATTTACCTCCATCCCCTTCCCCCTTCCTCCTCAAAAATAACCCGTCTAAGTTGTTGAATAGGTTAAATAAAAGATACCAAAAGAGAATGGAACAAAAACAAAAGAGATAAAAAACCTAAATCCTTCTCAACAGCGAAAATCTCAACAGCGATTTTATAGAGTCCATCAGAGAGAGCCAAAAAAAAGAAGAACAAACGAATATTATGTAATGGCAGGCAGCAAAAGTTTAATATCATGAAAGATTGAGGACGGCTGTAAGTAGTGGAACGATTGTCAAGAACTAAGTCAAGATAGTCTGAGCGTTTCTAAGCATACCTATGAAGTGCTTCAAACGAATCTCATCATACCGAACGCATGAGCGCCTTAATAATCTATCATCAATTCAACGAGGTAATATTTGTTCTCAAAACTAAAAAGCTTCTTTTTCACTGAACAAATCCAAGACAACTGAGCGTTTCCGTCGACTTTCGTAGCAATGATATCAGTTTGACAATGTGATAACTTCTCATTGTTCCTCTATCAACAGCCGCGCAAAAATTGAACAATCACAAAAATCACAAAAAAAACGTTTACGAAGAATCTGAAGAGGAGATAAAACTCGTCAATGAAAATGTGTAATGAAAACGAAAATACACAAAGTAAATATGATAATGAGCAAATGAGCAGAACGGGTAGGAAGATATAAATTGAATGGTTTCTTTTTTTTTCGGGGATGTTTTTGCTTTGTTCGATGATGATGACGATGCACGACAACAATACTGCAAAAAATGGCTGATAAGCACGATTAGGCGAGATACTGATATTCATCGTTTTGATCCGTCCTTTGGATGTACATCTTCTCGATCAACGCTTCGATATTCTTCTTTATGAAGTTCATATCGGGTGTGAAACGAGATTTTGTCTGCTCAATTACCTGCAATGTGCGGCGCTAAATGCATTCCACTCTTCACCATTCCATTTCAGAAACTGTTGATTAAAATAGATAATTCTCAACTCAAATCACAGTGTAAATTGTGCAAAATATTGAAAATACTGAATAGATTTTGAATTCATTTTCATTTGAAAACAAACAAAAAACAATGAAAACAATTCACAGACTTCATTGACAAGCGCTGAGTGCTTCAACACTTTACGTGTTTTCATAATACGAACTATTGTACACTCCATATAGTACTTTCGGTCTTGTTGCACCGTATTATTCACATGTTCTGCTTCCTTTTCCACCTAAATTATGATCCGATTCGTTCATCAGAACAACCACTTTGTTAACTTCGCACTTTCATCACTCATCAAAGTGACAAATATTCATCTAACACGATTTAGTGCATTACATAAAACAGTTCATTTTTCTCATTTCAAAACCCAATTCCCCTCGATCTCAGCTTTTAAAAACTTTGCGACGTAAAAACATTTGCCACGACTGATTATTCTTCGGAAACATTACACTACCAAGAACTAGAAATGATAATCAAACAACATATCCATTATAAAAAGACAAAAAACTGCAAAGTTCAGTCGAACTCAACGAACCTGTCGCTGCATTTGCGGCGTAACAATTTTGAAACGCAGTCGTTTCGATGTCATTGCCATATTCAACGTCACTTCCGAGCCGTCACCGATCGACTCTTTATCATCCACCAACAATATTCCACTATCCACAATCGCACGAACGTTTTTGATGAGCAGTTCATCCGTAAGACCGGTTGCAGTGGCCAAAAACGAGAGTCTTAGCTGATTGGTGTGCTCGAAGCATATCAGAAGCGCGAGTTGTTGAACAGACATTGTAACCTGATATTGCTTATCCAAATAGTTCAACTTCACTTCGGCTGAAACTATGAAAATCATTGCAAAACTAAAATCAACTACACCTCAAACAGCAGCACAGTAACACTCAATTCCCCACTCAAAACAATGCGTAAATTTTCACAACGCTCTATCTTATTGCACCGACACTCAACTTCGAATAACTATGGAACAGGCAAAACTCTGAAGCTGTCGTTTGTAGAATATCACCTGAGAACTCCATATAAACGCTAATTTTAGAGAACGAATCATTACTGGTTGAGTTGACTCACGAAATGAATAACTTTAATCATATTGACGCAAACTCAACAATTTTCAAACACAAATTCTCGATTGCTTAACATCACAGATATGAAAAGATAACACAAAAAATGTGATTCAAAACTCAAAATGGAACAAACCTGTGGCTAAATTGAATAACCACGTAAGTTTACGTCCGTTATGAGACATTTGATAGAAGAGTTCAAATTGTTGCACTGAAGGCAACAACACCGGCGGAACTATGAAACCGGCTGTTGGCACTGACGTAGACGTTGTTCCACTTGCAGTTACGGCGGGCACTGTGGATGACGAACCTGAAGTGGATGAGCATTTCACAGCGACATAATCTATCAAACAATCTAT